GTAGATGAATGTCGCGAGGAAGGTGACGCCTTTATGTTCGACCCTATTAACTGGGACCAATCACCTCCGGTGTTCACGTGTAACTTTCTTAAGGTTAGTAATTAAACACCTTAACCAAGATACTACAGGTATAGTACATTATTAAAATGCACGTAGCATAATTGTTACTGGGTTAATTGAACATTTTGTAGTAGTCGATGCTATTCAAATTTCTTTATAAGGACAACACCTTGTTGTTATTATTATGATGGTTCGTTTTTTTGTAGGTACGTCTTGAGTGTTTACTGGCAGACCCGTGCGACTCTGATGTAGGAACAACCAACTACACAACACTGGTCAGTCTCTTGCAAAATGTGATCAATTATTACAGCTTATTTGGGTTATGTAACGACACCATAGATGGTAGGTGACCTTTGACATGCGCAAGAATATTATCGTGACTATGTAGCTATAAATGTAATAACCCTTTCAATGCAATGCAAACATGAGTGAATGTATGTTTCCCGTAACTCCCATTCCTCACTGTTAATTTATTCACAATTCCATAGACAGTTAATGCTAATTTGAACAAGATAGAGTATAATGTAACTAATTTATTCAATACTTTTTGTGTGTAAACAGCCTTAATGTGTATACCCGGAGTATGTATATTCAAATCAATTGTCTTTAGTCCGTTAGACAGCATGGTTATAAAATGTTCACCCACAACTAAATTTTTGGAAATAAACTGAAATTACTCACCAAATGCATCGGACATGATACATGTTACGTAATCGGTCAGTTTTTGAAACATGTAATCATCTCTGTCGCTTTCTCATGTGAGATCTTGGTGAATTCACACTGGGTAAGTGAGTTTTAGTTGAGTGAGAAATCGCTATGTATATGGTGGAGTCTAACCGTTCTTTATTAATGCTCTTTTGTTATGTCCGAAACAGATAGTCTGCCATATGATCACGTGATTAAAATCAGAGAGCGATGTCTGGAGGAATCGGCGCGTCGCATCAAATCACCGTTTGCCATATCATGCCTGGAGACAGCATGGCTGACGTATTGTATTTACGATGAGCAAGTGGCGTGTGGTGACACCGACGCAAGGGCACCAGAGCTCTATGACAATGTTCAGTTTCTACTCGATGGGCTCTGTGCGTATAAACCGCCATCGGAACAACTCAGAGAAGATGCAGACGAATGGCGTGACAATCATCTAGAGTATTTTGAATACGAACGAGAATATCCCTGCAGTGCAACGAGCCATAATCAACATTACCTCATTCAATGTGTTGCATTTATTGCCCTAGCTTTTCAAAGTATGTATAACTACTGATGGTTATTGCTCACGTTTTTAACTTGAGTCAGTGCATGGTTTTTCTTTTGAAAATTGTATTTCCGGTATAGCAATATAATATGTCTTACTTGGTTTAGGTTATAGTAATCAAACACAAATTGTTAATAGTTCAATGGTTATATATATCGTCACGCTGGCAACTGTTAAAATGTTGTACACGCTGACAACAGATAAAATGTTGTACACGCTGTCAACAGTTAAAATGTTGTACACGCTGACAACAGTTAAAATGTTGTACACGCTGACAACAGTTAAAATGTTGTACACGCTGACAACAGTTAAAATGTTGTACACTCTGTCAACAGTTAAAATGTTGTACACGCTGACAACAGTTAAAATGTTGTACACGCTGTCAACAGTTAAAATGTTGAACACGCTGACAACAGTTAAAATGTTGTAAACGCTGACAGCAGTTAAAATGTTGAACACGCTGACAACAGTTAAAATGTTGTAAACGCTGACAGCAGTTAAAATGTTGTACACGCTGACAATAGTTAAAATGGTATACCCGCTGACAACAGTTAAAGTGTTGTACACGCTGGCAACAGTTAAAATGTTGTACACGCTGACAACAGTTAAAATGTTGTAAACGCTAACAATAGTTAAAATGTTGTACACGCTGACAACAGTTAAAATGTTGTATACGCTGACAACAGATAAAATGTTGTACACGCTGACAACAGTTAAAATGTTGTATACGCTGACAACAGATAAAATGTTGTACACGCTGTCAACAGTTAAAATGTTGTACACGCTGTCAACAGTTAAAATGTTGTACACGCTGACAACAGTTAAAATGTTGTACACGCTGTCAACAGTTAAAATGTTATACACGCTGTCAACAGTTAAAATGTTGTACACGCTGACAACAGTTAAAATGTTGTACACGCTGTCAACAGTTAAAATGTTGTACACGCTGTCAACAGTTAAAATGTTGTACACGCTGACAGCAGTTAAAATGTTGTACACACTGACAATAGTTAAAATGGTATACCCGCTGACAACATTTTAACAACGTTGACATACTGTACAGTACGTTGACATACTGTACATACAGTCATCAATTAGAAATGTGTACACGCTGGTAGTAATTCAAATTTCTATGAGCATTATTGAATGATCGACGTTCCTGCATTTGACCTTTCAAACAACTGTCTTTTTTTCAGCGTTTCTGTATTTGATCGTTTGAGAAATATTGTGTATTCAACGTTTCTTTGGCTATAAAATCAAATAGATAATTTTTCTAATCAACTACGCTTCGTTTGCTATAAATGTTTTAAGTTCCATGAATGACAATATTGAAAAACATTGAACAATTCGTTGTATACATTGGATTACTACATACCAATAACTTAACACATGTATATGTGAATTGATTGTACATACCAGCATTCTTTAGTTTGTATGTAATTAAAATTATGCACCTGTAGTTTAACACACACATGCGCTTTGAAATAATAGTACGTACCAGTAATTTAACACATGTTCGCTTTTAAATAATAGTACGTTCCAGTAATTCAACACGCATGTATTTTGAAACAGTACGTACCAGTAATTCAGCAGATTGGTACTTCGAATTACTATTACGTACCTGCCAGACTGAAATATTTTGTCATTTTAATGAAGTGTTATATTTTAGATTTCACTTATGTTTGAATATAAAATAAGAATAAAAAAGAACAACCATACGAATCATTTCAAGTAACTATGTTTTAAACGTTTGACATTTTAATATAACAAGATTTCAATGTTACATAATTGTTTATATTATTTTAAATTAAATTATTGTTGTGGGTGGCCATTGTGCTTCAAATCATTTGTTTTTTATTGATCCGCCGAAGAAAATAAATTAAATTACTCTCGAATACATAAAAAGTGGGGTAGATTACCTAAAAAAAATCATTCAACAGATAATGAATTTTTAATTAAAAATTTGAAAAAGGAAGTCGTGTATTACTTGCAAAAAAACCCGATATTCGTCGATATCATGAACCCTAAAACAATAAATATGCAAAAATTAATAATCCCCTGCCATACTATCCGTATTTGCTAAAGTCAGGATAGTCTGCCCCGGGTGTCGCTTGATACTGTTTTTTGCTGTATTACATATTATGAATACGCATTTTAATTTTAATGACAGATAATTGTAATATGTACGCACGTAGCCTCACTAGCGCCCTCAATAGTCAATTTATCTAATTCAGGCCTTGGAGAGTTTTAAACAACACATTTTACACGCGTTGTATACGTTGCTATGCGTGACGACAATCACCCTTTAAAGATCCTGACATTTGTGTTTATGTGCTTCTCGTCAGTGTATTTGTCATCAAACAGGATATAAATAATGTTTTCAATGTTGACACTAATTTCGATTTGTTTTCCGAACAACACGCTTGGGTTAAACACAAAATGTTGATACTCACCATTTGGAAGCTTAAAAGCTTGTACATGTATCTAATTTGCACGTTTATTAACAAATACACCTGTCGAATTAAGCTAGAAAGTGAGAATGGCGAACAAAATACAAAAGAAATTGCTTTGTCCGTGTTCCGCCAAATAAATCCGACCATAACTTCGGTCAACATTGACTTCACGCACCGCAGTGGTAAAAAAAAGAAGTTTCAAACAATCAATCTACGTGTCCGAGATCAACTATTGTTCACTTTGCAGCCAGAAAATGACGGAAATTGTCGCAATCTACGTGACATTACAAAATAGTTTATCTGATACTGTTGTTCATATCTGTGTATGAAAACTCAACACTATAGTCATGTCAGCTGTTATCAAGGGTATTTATGCAAGAAATAAGCACACTATTAGTATCTTTGAAATAGATAACACTGTCATAATACACGTATTTTCCGGAAACTGTCATGTCAAACAAACCATATCAGCCTACTACAAAGGCAGTTGTTTCTTCAGTCTAGTTAAGGCTTTTTTTTTTCCATAGTTACCGGAGTTTTGTCTTGTCTATTTGTTGTCTCCAGCAAACCATGGGTTCCCTGAGCTGCTAGAGCAAACACTGTTGACAAATCTATCCCCGGCTTCTTGATCAGAAGCATGCATGTGTTTGCATGCAAGCTACATACCATAGGCAGTCTTTTCTGTTTATCACAAGCCTCTTTCTCCATAATATCCTGTTTGGCATTGCATCGGCATGCTCAACTCCATGCCTTACTCTGGATCATGCTCTCATCTGAGATGGTTCTCCAATAAGCAGTGTGAAACGTTTCATCCATTAAGTCGCAGTGATCCCACCTGCACACCTCGTTTAATTCAACTTCAAGCCATAATTTAGCCATAACATCATTTTGATAAAATGTTGGGGTTTCCGGTGTCTTCTGCTGTGGCATCATCTTGGTCTACCTGGAGAAAAATCCACGCCACTCTAACCACGCCAGACCGTGCAAACATTTGTTGGTTACCAAACCACACAGCTGCATAGATTATTTGAGATTACGCCGAAATAGCGGATATTTCATGTTTTTTGATGTTTTAAATCAATATCGCTGGCACAGGTACCTTCTAGAATTGACATATGACCTCTACATACTTGGAGTAACTCTACGGTAATTTAACAGCAATTTACACAATATTTATTCACATTTTAAAACATTTAACTATGGGACTTGACAATATGATATCACAGGTAACATTCCCGAATGAAATTAACTGTGCAATCGCTTTTCACAACTTTGTAATCAGTTTGTTGCCGATTTTCGGGTTGGTTGTTGTAATCTGCATATATATGATACATTCTCGATTTACCTATTGTTTTGAAATTTAACTGCGGGGTTGTCATGACAATGACTTAGATTAAATATACAAGTACTCCGCCAACATTTCCTTCGCTTTTTCTAACTTTGCACGCTGTTTTCTACCATTTAAAGTCAGCTCATGCGAATATCTATAGGCTGTTTCCAACTTTGTAATAACTTTACACAACTTTGCACTCACTTTGAACAACTTTGCTCGGTGATTTACAAGCCTAAAACCCACTGCGTGTCGACAGCATTTAACAACTTGTTATTGAAAATTAGAAGGAATGTAAAAACTTGTTTTTAATTAAAATATGAT